GATTTTGAAAAACTACGCATGATGGGATTTGAAAGTCCTTATTCTATTTAATTTCTTAACAGATATCAAATATTCTAAAAAACGTAAAAAGAAGAAGGAGGTGAGTCGGATCCGTCTCCATTAGGTGGTAATTGGGCGAGGGAATCCAATTCTCTAATCCTCACCCTTTATCTTGATCGAATGACAAAATAATGGCCATCATGAGATTACTTACAATTAGTGTAGTGGCTTATTAAAACCACCAATTGGGTGGATGATATATTATTACTTTTTTAATAATAATTTAACTATTTTCCACTACAACCTTCAATAACCTCTCCAAGTAGATGGTTAACTAAGCAATCTCTCCTCACGAAGTTTAAATTATTTATTATTTCATGAATTTATATTCACGCATCAGATTTCTTTTATACAATGTGCACAAATAAAGGAACACTGGACCTGCTTCCGCGAACCATTATCAAAACATATCTTCAAATTACTCTTCTAGTGTATTCTTATCTAATAACACATGTCTAAGATAATGCAAATCAATGACTTTATAAATAAAGTAAACTGCTAACACCCAATATAAACAATGATGACTAATTTATATGCATTATCTTCAAGGCTGAAATATTGTCCGACACCGTGCCACAATTTAACAGTTTGTCTTAAAGCTGTTCTATTTAAAAATTTTAAGGAGAAAAACTGAGGTAGGACGTGAAATAATTGTCGCGCGCGAATGTCCCTCATGTTACTGTCTACACCATCAGTTCTTGAAATATGTCGAGGATGGAGAGAATTTTTGCCGAGGGCCTCAACACCTCGAATTAAGCTAGTACCCTAATATTGGGAGGATTACAGGAGGTTTCCGTCTTTTTTTAGTTTTCAGAAAATTTTGATTTTCGCTTAAAAAATAAAAAAAATAAAAAAAAAAAAAAAATTTTTTAATAATCTTTAAATCTATCGTAATAGTTTTTCAAAACCACTAGTTATGATTATGGTAATCTCATGTGGTTTTTGCCTTTTTCCTTTAAATTAAAGATAAGGCGGTGAGGGACACTGACGATTCAGAGAATGGACCATCTACCAATTACCACCTAATTTGGAGAGGTCTCGAATCTAATAAACTTTCTCCCCCTTTCTACAAGAAGATAAAGAGTTCCAATTCTAATTTGTAACCATGCTCTTGGATAAATCATAATGGAAATAGCTCCCAAAAAAAAAGGCAAATCATTATTAGATCAATTTTATCACCTAGAATCTATTCTGAAGTCTTGCCAACCATTTACACCTCAACTGGATGTAACATATTTTTGCCTTTTTTTAAAATAGCTTAATAATTAAGTGTTTAAATAGTTGTTTATTAGTCTAAATTAGAGGATAATTTACATGATTGCATTCTTTTGGGTGCCATCAATATAGTCTAATATTAGAAAAAGATATTTTAGTTTAAACTTATATTCTTTATATTTAGGGAAAAATTGCTGCCAAAGGCCCCAAATTCCAACTTTCAATGTGCCCCAGCGCCTCCCATATTTTTAATGCTATTTCGTAGCCCATTCTTTTTGCAAAAAATTATGTCCAGAACCCGTCCATCATGATTTCCAGCTCATGTCAGCGGATGCATTAGACATGTCAGGCCCTCATGATTAGACCATCCGTCAGCTGGCTTAAAATCCTGAAATTTATTCCCCTTCGTCTTTCTCCATGTAGTGGATCGATTAACTCTTACAGTTAAACCATGTTTAACTCTTTTACAATTAACATGTTAACTCTTACAGTTAACATGTTAACTCTTACAGTTAACATGTTAAACTCAGTTAACATTGTTATCTCTAAGCAGTTAACATGTTAATTGTTAAGAGTTTAAACATATTTAACATGATAATCATGGACCGCCGCCGCCCACGGACGGACGCCGACGACGCGCAGCGGGTGGAGGGAGTTGGGAGGCGGCCCAGAGGGGGACCGCATGAGCCGAGCGGAGGTGTTTAAGGAGAGGTGCAGACGAGAGCGGAGGCGGGCGGAGGGCGAGCCGCTGATGCAAGGCGCGCGGCGAGGACGGGGGAGGCGGAGCGAGGAAGGGAGGTGGGAGAGGGAGGGAGGCTGGTGGTGCTTGGAAGGCTCCAGCGGCGGAGCGAGGAGGGAGGCGGAGCTGGGGGAGGAGGTGCGGGAGGCAGGCCCGTAGAGGAGCCGACTGGAGGAGGAGGCAGGCCGAATAAAATTCAAGATTTTTGGATGGAGTTTGCCATTGGGTAAACTGGGCAGAGTTGTCTGGGCACAATTATTTTCAAAAATGGCGCGGGCCTGCAGCACCATTGTTGAAAGTTAGCGCGGCTGCTTAGCACATTGAAAACTTAAAATTTGGGGCATTTACACCAATTTTCCCTCTATATAAATCCTGATACTATCTCAGTGCCTAAATCAAGAATACAGTTTCAGGGAAAAATTATGTCAAGGCCCCAAATTCAACTTTCAATGTTGCCCAGCCCTCCATATTTTTTTAATGTACCGCAGCCCCTTCTTTTTTTGAAAAAAAATTATTGTCGGGCGTCATTCATCATGATTTCCAGCTTCATGCCCAGCGGATATTAACATTGCCCAGCTGGCTTAAATCCCCAAATTTACCATTCTCTTTTCTCATGCCAGCCTGCGATGGTTAACTCTCTACAATTAACATGTTTAACTCTTACAGCATAACATGTTAACTATTAATAGCTTGACATGTTATCTGTAAGAGTTAACATGTTAACGTGTAAGATGCTAACATGGTTAACATGAATAACCATGCATCGTCGCCACCCACGGTGAAGTACCTCAGGACGGCGCCGCGCGCCGGTAGCTAAGGAGGCGAGGTAGGGGAGGGGCGTTCGGGCGGACCGGTATGAAGAGGAGGCGAGGCTGTAAGCGAGAGTGCAGCGTCTGGGGAGGCAAGGCGGGGCGGGCGGGGGAAGGATGGCAGGGCGCGGGGAGGGAGGGTGGGCGAGGGGCAGGAGCGCGATGCTTGGGAAAGGCTCCGGCCCGACGGAGCGGCGCGAGAGAAGCGAGCTGGGGGAGGGGGTGGGGAGGCGGTTTAGAGGAGGCACTGAAGGCAGGATGTGGAGGGATAAAATCGAGATTTGGCATAGCGAGTTTGTATGGAACTTGGGGAGAGGGCGCTCTGGCATAGTTTTTTTCAAAAAATGGCGGCTGAAACACATTGTTGGGCTTGTGGCACATTGAAAATTAAAATATTGGGCGCACTTGAAACAATTTTCCCTACATTTTATACTCCATGTGTTTGTCATAATCAAATGTATAAATTCTACACATACTCATGTACAAAATTTTCAATGTAGTCAAAATTTTCAATGTATAAAGGAAACTAGTTCAATTGTTTTTGGGAAAGGTCCTTGAATTTTAGAAAAGCTTTTTCTTTTTGTCCTTTTCTTTTTGGGAAAGGTCCTTGAATTTCGTTGTGGGCAATTGGAAATTTATTAGGGAGGAGCACTTTTGTTTTGTGTAGCGAAAAGTACAGAGTTCCATGAAACCCCCAAAATTTATGGGAATTTCTCAATTTTTATAGTTCAGAGGGATATCATTCAAAGCGTCAAACAATTCAGGGGGCTTTCTGAAATCTACCCCTCTACTAAACCCTGAAAGCTCCCATTCTCCTTCAGATCAAAACGCCAGGGGAGGAAAAAGGAAGAAAAAAGAGGGATAAAAAAAAAAGAAAAGAAAAAAAAGAAATGGACGCAGAGCTTCTCGAGCTCCAAAAACAGTTCGAGTCCGCTCAACAAGCGAAATCGAGCGTGAGATTATCCGATCGCAACGTCGTCGAGCTCGTTCAAAAGCTCCAAGATCTCAACTTTATCGATTTCGACCTCCTCCACACTGTTTCGGGCAAAGAGTACATTACTCCTGTAATAATTCTCTCTCCTAGCAAATTGTCGATTCTAAAAATCGACACTTGTTTCTAATTCCTCGATCTTTTTTTGAACTTGTTAGGGTCAATTGAGGCAGGAGATTGAGGCGGAGATTGAGAGAACGGGTAGGATTTCTGTGATTGATCTGAGTGATGTGATCGGTGTGGATTTGTATCATGTTGAGAAGCAAGCGCAGGGGATTGTGGGGAGGGATTCTGGGCTTATGATTGTGAATGGTGAGATTATCTCGGATTCGTATTGGGATTCAGCGGCGGAGGAGATTGATGAGAAGCTGCAGGAGTGTAGCCAGATTGCGTTGGCTGAGATTGCTGCGCAGTTGCAAGTTGGGTCTGAGTTGGTCGTTTCTATTTTGGAGCCTCGAATTGGGAGTATCGTAAGTTATTTTGTTTTATATAATAATGCCCTTAATTTTTTGGACTTCTTGGTTGTGTTTGAAATTGCTGAGAAAAGTAACAAGAGAAGTTGTTTACTTGTTCTAGTTTCAGTCACAATGCGTCAATTTGGCCAGAGTGGAGGTGGGTGGGATGAGGAGAAGCAAACCTAGAACCCGAATATTTTGAAACATTTGTCTAAAATTTTATGAACTTTTCACATTGATATTGACCATAAATAACGATTAGGAGTATGTGTAACTGAAGACACAATAGTCCGGACGATAAATTTTTTGTACGTGGAATAAGATGAAGTTATCATGAACTAAAGACAAATACGGTTTTGAGTAACATTAGTGAACTAGTCTTGATATGTAGCCCAGACATATTGATTACGTAGCATATAGGCCTCGTTTTTGCAACCCTCTCATCAAGCATAGTTGTTAGTTGCCTTGGCAAGGTGAACTTGTGGGCAATACGCTGTTCAAATTTCATCATTCAGAAAAGAAATATTTAGTCAAGTGTTAAGCTTACCTTAGGTAGGTTGAGATCATAAAAAGTTGTATTTAACAATATGTGTGGTTCATAACAATTTATTCATTTCTTTGACGCCTACATGCAGTTCAGCTTGTATAAGTTTTGCAGTCCTTTTCTTTGTTTGTTTGTACAATGAATGTTAACTTATCCTGATGTACTTTGTAGATAAAAGGCAGGCTTGAAGGTGGACAGCTATATACACCAGCATATGTTTCACGTATTTGTGCTATGGTTCGTGGTGCTTCAAGGGGTATAACTGTCCCAACAAATTTAGCGACCGTGTGGAACTCGTTGCAGCAATTATTGCAAGACATGGATGGGGCTAATGGTGTTTCTGTGGAAGGTGCTTTCTTTCAATCCCAGTTCAATGGACTGGTGAAAGAAGGTGAGATCCTTGGATCGCTACGTGCAGGAGTTCAGTGGACACCGGCTGTAAGAATTTTAACCTTTTTTTTTGCTCTTTCTTTTTTCAGCATTCCATTTTCTTATGTTATTTTTGCTAATTGAATTTTTAGGTTTTTGCGCATGCTCAAAGGGAAAGTGTGGATTCTTTCTTTTCACAGGTTTGAGTCATTTGCGCTCTCTTTGCTTTGTACATTGGTATGGATGAAGTTGAGCACATATTATTGTTGTTGTCATCAATGCCCTCCAAGTTGCATAATCATTTGCGTCCTTATAACTTAAATAACATGTTAGGTACAAAATGATGCAGTCATGAAATGGACACAAGTTAGATACAAAATGATGCAGTCATGAAATGGATATCTTGTGTCCACACATAAACAAACACTAAACACGCGCATGCATGCAGCCCACACACGAACACACATGTATAGGTATGTACACGTACATGTATGCAGTGTTTCAAATGTTGGCCGCCATGTCGGACATGTCGGCCGACATGGCAGATTTAGGGGCTAAGGCGGATTTAGGGGCTAACGGACACGATATGGAGCTTTTCAATGCGTATTGCATTTTTAAGGTTCATGTCGGATATATCGGAGGACATGTTGGCTATGTCGGTCGATTTTTCGGTTTGAAAATTTAGCTAATTTTTTAGTTATGTTTATCTAATTAAGTTTGGGTTTAAATTCCTAATTGAATTAATATTGCTTCCAAAGACAAAACTCCGATCATTTAGGGGAAAAAGGACCGAAGTCATTTCCGTCACTTCTCTTATCTTTCTGATTCAACATCTTGTCGGTTTTTTTTCTGAGTTGTTTATTTGACATCAATATTGGAGGATCTTCTCTCTTCCTAACTACCAACATCAGACTTATCTTTTCTCACCACTTTCCTTCAACATCAACTCTAAGTAGCATAAGTTATTTATTTTTTTATATGTTTAGACAATAGAATTTATTAAGTATGTTTAGATTTCATTTATGATATTATATTACACATATGCACACCATCCAATATGACAATCCAATATTTTTTTTCATGTCCCCCGATATATCCTTGATTTCCGCTATCCGCCATGAATTTTAGATGTCCGACATATGAACCCGACATCTGACATTTAAAACCTTGCATGTATGTGTGTGCGTATCGTTTGTGCATGTTCATTTGCTCCAATGCTAACACTATAAAATGTAGTTATCCTTTAGCATATATATAGGCCTTCAAACAGTGCATATGGTATCTTTTTGGAAATCATGTGCGGTTCCTTATTAATTATGAATAGTTATGGTTGTCTCAAGCCATTTACATATTAATATTTGTTTCATTAATTATGACCACCATTGGGAATGGCTTTTAGATCTGGACATTATCCGCACATGACATTGTTTGTACATTGATTGGCTTAATTGGTTGAGTGGGGTTTTTTTGTTGTACTTTCTCTTCTACTAAGTCAGATGTATTTGGTGCTCATTGGGTAACTTGTATATAAAGCATTCTTATTAGCATGCAAAAACTATGCCGGTAAAATCTGCAGATATATTGTCATCTTTGAAGAATAGTAAATTTCACCTTCATATGTAAATCTCTTTAGGATCTTAACTAGTGCCTCTTCTAAATCACCTTCTGGATTGCAGAACTCCTACATCAGCTATGATGTTCTTCTTAAACTTTCAATTCCTCAGCCTAAACAGTACTTACAGGTAATTATCTCAGCCTGAACTTATTTTCTACATTCTAAAGATATAGCCTCCTTAATCCATGATAATTTCTATATCTTGGTTTTAATGTAATCATTTGTGCATTAATGCACTCTCTTATAGTCCAGATATCCTGAAGGTATTCCTCTTGAGGGTGTTTTCATTCACCCCTCGCTAGTTGATATGTTGGATGCTGCTATAGAAGATGCTGTTGACCATGGTAACTGGTGAGTATCATGTGTTAACTTTTTCTGGTGAAGTTAGCATTCTTTATATGTTTCTGCAAATGTTTGTATCAATAAAATTATGCAATATATCATATCATACTCCCTTTAAAAGACGGAGTTGTGGAAAAACTTTCTGAGGACTATATTACCCATATTCTCTTTTGATATTACATTCTAATACTAACTAAACTAAATTAATTATCATCGTTAATTAATTACATTATATGTCACTTTAAGTTTTCATAATTTGGTCTTTAGAACTTCCAACATTATTATAAAACTCTACATCATATTAATTATTAGTAATGTATAATAATAAATTAATAGATAATTTCATGTCAATAAAGTATTTATGGAAAGAATAGAAAACATAGAATTATCCTAAAATCATACCATGAAACTCATATAAGAAAATTACAAAGAGCATTCTTATGTTTAAGTAAAAAGACAGAAGGTACAAACATTAAATTTGAGAAAACATTAGGATATTTAAGCGCATCAAGATACATTATCTAAAATTTAAAAAAAAATGCAGCAAGATACAAGTGGAGGTATATAAGTATAATTTTGGTAAACTACAATGTATTTAAGCTCAGTTAAACCTAGAAAAGATTTGAAACCTTTGTTATCTATAAACAATGTATATGATCCCATTGACAAATAATATTTATCATACAATATGAGGCCAGATGCTTAGCTTATATTTATATAGTAGAGGAGATGTGAAAAAAGTAAAGCATCATATTTTGAATGAGTCAAGATTTTGAATTATTTTCTGAAATTATATACTTCGCTTAGGAAACTTTAGAAGAAGCTTTTGAAGGACTACTACAAAGTGTTGAACATTAAATAAATATTGAAAAACTAAATTCCATGATATCGGGTAGCAAAAATTAGGGATATGTATGTAATACTGGGTGTCATATGAGTAAATATTTATACATAACATGACATTGTAATATGTAATCTAACATATTAATGAATTTTAAACATAAGAATTTGCATCAAGATATATGTTTAAGGTTTGAGAGAGCCTAGAGTGGAGAGATTTAGGAGAAGAATTGTGGCCTTTGTGGGTTTTGCAGGTTCCGATTTTATTTTCCAAACACGATCCAAACCCTAGCCCACAATCAAATTACAAAATGACATGATTTTCTTGATATCTTCAAAGAGATATATCGATCATATTTTCGATAACGGTCGATTTATCAAAAAACTCAACAAACAAAATAAAATAATATAAAATATTACCAAGATAAAGTCTTTAACCCGATATATTTGCTGATATAGCAATATATTGGTCGATATTTAATAGAATGCATATAAGAGCAAATACGTAAAAGTTATTTAGATATTAGTTCCTTGTTTTTAAATATCTAATGATTCTATGTTATTCCCACAAATTTTTGAAATTGCTCATAATTTTAGGGATTAATATTAAATTATTAAAATTTTTGGGGACAAATTATAAATAAGCCATATTTAAAAGAAGTGTTAATTTTTAAAAAAACCCTCTCAACTATGTGGATTGTCTTAAAAACCCCACTCAACTGATTCAATTTGACAAAACCCCTTCATTATTTGGGGTGTTATAGATAATCCCTCTCAATTTTGATGCAATTTTAGAAAATATCTCTCAACTATATCGTATCTCATAAAAACTCCCCTAATATTTTACACTTCTATAAAAAAAAACCCCCTTAACATAGTTACTTCGATATGCGATTTGGACAAAATACCCTCTTGAAGAAAGCAATTTTAATTAAATAGAAATCCTCAACCGACAATAAAAGGATCACAACCAATTTATAATTCCCCCCTCTATATCATCTCTTTTATCTGGTAAAAACCAAGGTAATTCTTTTATGATTGATTAATATTTTTCTCTTTTCAAGTCAAGTACTTATCACATAATAGATAAGCAGAGATTTACTCAGTCTTAAATAAGTTTCTCAGGGGGGGTATCATGCCCTCCATAGTTGAGGGGGAGTTTTCTAAAATTAACTTTTAAACAAAAGCACAACTTAAGGCACATGTGATATTAATTTTATAAGAGTGGAGTTTATAGCAAGTCTATCACTCAATGAATTGGTTTGGGTTACCTGTCTTTAAATTTATCCTACACATCAACTCTAAAAAACTTTTGCTATAAGAACCTCTAAGAAAAATTTAATATTTATTTGTGATGAGTATATGATCGTTCTGATTCCCCTTGTCTTTTATAATTTGTAATAAATTATTTGACAAAATAAATTAAGTTGTCATTTTATATTGCTCACATTCGGTTTATGGAGCTCATAGCTTGGATATGAGTATTATTGTAAATATTGTATTCTTCTAACTCCTTAAGCTAATTTTTTGAATGTTGTTTGACATTGGATAGATATGAATTATTTTATTAAAATACAATCAATGAGTGCATTGTAGGCTGTCTAAAAATCACAATGGATAGCTAATCCCTATTAAGCCCCGACAATGAAAGTTACAATCAGACGACTTTCTAATCACTGCATCCGCAACTCTACAATCGCTACAAACACGACCTCATCTCTGAGATGATTGATCTTGATGGCTGCGACAACAACATGACTAATATTATATTAGCAACTATTAGAGATGCTGATGAGCAGTGTAATGATTTCATAAATAAAAGGTTGGACTTAGTTGGTGAGTTGCTTGGTAGAGAGCTGTGGACAAATATTCATCTAAAAATCACAATGGATGATTGATCCCCATCAAGTTCCAACAATGGAAGCTACAGTCAAATAGCTTTCGTGCCGACAAACGAATGTTGCAAATAGAGGACTTTTCACACAGATCGAGAAGAGTTACAATTCAACGACGCTTCCGACAGCTGATGAGAACTTTATTCAGTGGCCTTCATAATCAATCGTGAGAGTTACAATCTGACGACTTTCACACCCCATAACAAGCAAAAATCAATGAGCCATAGCCTTTGCGATGCTGTAATGGATGATGTTACAATTCAACAACCTCTCCCAAACGCAGAGTCCACTTCTGCGTTTCCCAAACTCAAAACGCATACGAACTGTGCGTTCTCTAGTTGACATTCAACTCTGCAACGCAGAGTTAAAACACAAAACGCACGGACTGTGCGTTCTTCAGCAAACACCCAACCCTGTGTCTCAAACTCAAGACGCAGAGCTGAGGTTCAGCACACAAACGACCTGTGCGTTTCAAGTCTCTAACAGAGATTTAACTCTGCGTCTCAGGCTTTAGACGCAGAGTTAAGGCCCAGAACGCCAAAGTAGGCGTTTGACTTGTTCAAACACAAGCCGAACGGCCTCAAAACCGTTATCCCACGTTCTGAGGGATTTTCGCCCACTTAGGAGCGGATTTAGGGGTTGGTTACACCCTTAACCCCCCTATAAATAACCGACTTACTCAACTGAGTAAGGGGTTGACGTGTGCTGGCACCAAAACCGTTTAAGGTTAGTAAATCTCAGCAGCTAAACCGCACGGAGGAGGAGATTTCTCTGAAGATCAACAAACTACTCAGTAGTTAGCAAGTCAAATCTGAGGGGATCCCTTCATCAACGGCGAATCAACTTGGCTATCAACCGAATCTTCGGTTCTAACAACTCTGTTACAGAGTTTCAACTCGCTCTGAGTTCTGAAACTCCTTTAAGAGTTCGTAATTAAGCTTGCAACGCAAGTTAATTACATCAATCAGTTATTCAGTTTTCACCAACTCTTTTCAGAGTTTCCAACTCGTTCTGAGTTTATTAAACTTGTTACGAGTTCATCACACAAGTCAATCATTCTCGTGAGATAGCACGGTCAGATCGTCAACGGAGAGCAAGTTCGACGCAAGCAATCGAAGGAGGCACTCCATCGCTACCAAGAAGAACCCAGTTTTAAATAAAGGGGAGAATCAAATTCATTCTCCTTTCTTTTGTAATCAGAATCCAAATTGTAATCGATTTTGAGAGAATACAAGTTAATTTTTCTTTCATTGTCTTTTTACATCAATTTTTCCACAAACATGCATAATATGTACAAATCATTCTCAGACTATATTTTATAATTTTCTGAAACTAGAGAGTAATCGTTTTGACAGATCAATTAGTATTTGGGAAGATGTAAAAAGAGTACAACATTAGATTTTGGAATTGATCACATAATTTATATTTTCTTTCTTGATTGAATTTGCACATTCTAACTTAGAAAATTCTAGAATTTTTTTTTTGAATATCTATAATGCTCGATCGCCAGATAAACAACAGGTGAAAGTAAACAACAGGTGGATGTGATTTTTTTATAACTGAACAAAATCCTTAATGACTAGATAAAACCTACCATTTTCCTTAATGGACTCTGTGATTTTTTTATAACTGAACAAAATCCTTAATGACTAGATAAAACCTACCATTTTCCTTAATGGACTCAAGAATTTATTTTTTATTAATAATAATACTTAATGACTAGATAAAACCTACCATTTTCCTTAATGGACTCAAGAATTTATTTTTTATTAATAATAATAGGTTTTTTCCATATTGGTCCCTTACATCATTAATATTTTGAAACTATACATTCAAATTACTATTTAATCTTAAAATATTAATATTTTAAGGCTTTAAACATCACTATTTCTCTGAAAGACAAAATGTTAAAATCACACATGGAAATATCCAAAAAAATTAACATATTACGATAAATTAAAAGTTTTTTACAACCATTTTATAGTAAATAAATAAACTTAAAGTTAATAATTGTAATATACAATTATTTAACCACATGCAGTGCACGTGCATTACACCTTGTATAGTTAAAACTCCTAAGAGGTTAAACTGAATCTAAGTCACCTCGTAATTTCTAGTTAATATTTTCAGATATCCATTATTTTGGTTGTACTATCTGAATGTAGAAAGCTATTACTGTTCTTTCAGGATTGACAGTCTTTCAGTTCTGCCAGCGTATGTTGGAGGCCGGGATGTTACTAAAATCTTGTCACATTGTCCCTCTGTTCAGAAGGCGCTTAAGGTTTTATTTCATCTCCTCCTTGCTAATTTGCTTTTGTAAACATTTGAGTTATTAATTCTCCTTTGTGTTTTCAGTCCTCGAAAGCAATTGTATTGGGTGAATCATGCATATTTAGCAGCAACTATATCAAGGTACAGTTCCATAGAGTATTACTGTTTCCTATTTTGGGAGTCATTACCTCTCAAAACGCTTATTTTTCCCTTTCAAAGTTGAACAACACATGCAAACTACATTTGCCTCTGGATAAAATCTCTGCTACTGTATGCTACTTTATTCTTTTATCAGCATTGGTTCTTATGTTAACCCTTATATACAAACTGCAATTGTATATCAAATGTGGTTTAGTTGTAAAGCATGTTGCCTAACTGTTCTCTTGCTAAAGTAAGATGCCTTAATGTGGACATTATGTCTTCTCTGTTTGTTCATGTACTAGGGTATGTTTGATCAAATGGAGAAAGAGATGGATACATTTAGCTTGACAAATCTTGCTGGTCAAGGGATGCATACTGACTCGCATGCAGCTAATGAGCGTAAAAGTGGACTCAGTTCTTGTGATTATTCTGAGCTGAAAGAGACCGGTGGTGATGGAGGCAGCAGCAAATATGTTTCTGAAAAAGGGTCAAAGAAGAAAAGAGGAAAAGTCCAGGGATCTGCGAAGACAGGAGCATCTGAAAGCGATTTTGATAGCCAGGAACATGTTCCTATTAAATTCAAGAAAAATCAGCGAAAAACCAAAGATACAGGTCCTTCTGATACTAAATCTGGTACTAGAAAAGGTCTGGACAAGGTGAGAGAGGATAACTTGAATGTGCCATCTGAAGAATGGATAACAGAAAAGATTCTGGCATTGGCTCCTGATCTGGGTGAATTAGGAGGTTTGTGCATAAATAAATTGATAGTTGTTTCATGGACTAGTGTTTATGTGTCACTGATATATTTTCACTGTTATTGGTTGCCAATTAGATCCTGAGGATCCAAGTTCATTGCTTAGAAAGTTGTCCAATCATTTGAGACCAATGCTGCTCAATTCATGGAAAAAGAAAAGGAATTCAGTGATGTTGGAAAATTCCGAGAGAAGACGTCGGCTGCTTGATAATTTGCAGAAGCAGCTGGATGAGGTTTACTTCTTCCTTTTTGCAAGAGTTGTTGCTATATACATCTCAGTTTTATGTCAAAATTTCTTTTTCTTAACATATTTCTATATCATTGGTGTTTGTCAATGCCATCTTGCTCAGTTGCTTGTGTGAATGTGCTCTGATCTCTGTGTTCCTCGTCTTTTTGACCTATATGTTTCTTAGGGTTTCTTGGAATTTCAGCTTTATGAAAAAGCACTTGATCTCTTTGAAGATGATCCTTCAACATCTGTAAGATTCACGGTCAAAAAATTGCATTGAAAATTTTCTTAGGTTTGTTACATGATCAATAAAGTTATCTATAAATGCAGGTTGTCTTACACAAGCATCTGCTTAAGACCATGGCTGCATCGATTGTGGACAAAGTTATTTCAACTTTGGTAAAGATGTCAATATTTGATCAATATTTTTTTATTTTGATTGTGAAGAATGAACGCTGAAGAAGATAAGGTTTACTATAAAATGTCTTCACTTTATAACTATGACCAATCTCTGTTGGTTCCTTATCAATCCTGGAAACTCAAAGACCTCTTTGATTTAGTGTCGTCCTTAATTTCTAGATGTTCAAGGTATTAACTTCTACTTTGTATTCTTTACCATCTTCAGGTGATGGATGATAAATTGAAGAATGGAGTTGAAGTTGGTGATACTGAAAGTCCAGGTTGTGGGGACCAGAGCCGTATCTCTTTGGTCTGAAACTCATTTCTATCTAGCATACGCCTCTAGTATTTAAGTCATCTTGTTCAAGTTGTGTCTTCTTCCTTTTCACACTAAAATTGCTTCATTCCCTTGTTGGGCGTTTTATTAACATTCTTTCGGTTTTGTAGGCAAAGAGCTTGCCTGACTCTCTATCAGTGAAGGCACAAGCAGTGGTTGAAGCTTTGGAGGCGAAGGTTTGTTTTTTGAATATAAAGAACTCCCAATGTTATTTTCATTCTAGATTCTTCTTCACTTTTGGATCAATGATGTTAATGATTTTCTAACATTCTTCTAATGCTTGTATGTGCAGAGTGTAGAACCTTTCATGGCTGAACTAGGGGCATTAGCAGAGGAATGGTAAGAACAACCAACACGCTATCATGTTTGTGATTTTGATCCCTTAGAATTTTTTGCTTTGTTGTTTGATACTTGCTATGCCATTATGCAGTGGACTGCTATTGAAAAAGCTTGACAAGAAATTAGAAAGGACGCTATTGCATTCTTCTCGTAAGGTATGGCTGTAAAATTGATGAAAGCAACGTAAACAATGGTTTTTCGCTTACTATTCTGCATGTTCTCTTCTGTTTTTATGCTACGCTATTTTCAGTTATTTTCTTACTCGTCCGTCCATAACCTAACGCATACATTTGCAAACATGTATCCCTAGTCTAAATAGTTGGCATCCCTTTTCATGTTTATATGGTATATGAGTGGCATACTGGTGGTACTTTTGTTATTGTAAGTAACCTTTCAAAATGGTGGCATCAACGTGGCAAACTGGCAATTAAGCACAATGCATGAAATAGAAACGGGAGACACTTATCCATGAAGATTCTCCACATCATATTGAGAAGTCCAAAAAACTGCTGCAATACTAATTTTTATAAAGATTATTAACTTGCCAGACATTTGTGTCTGATGTTGATTTCATGGGTAAGGAATCTATGAAAGAAGGTATTGCCATTTGTTTGGTGTAAAGTACAGTTCTAAACTCAGATGCCATGATGGTTTAAGAAAAAAGATCAAATAAGGAAACATCTCAATGGAAAAACATATTCTTACAAATCCAAGGTGTTTGTAATCTTAATAATATATTTGAATAGGCAAAAGCAAAAATTTCTATATTTGAATAGGCAAAAACAAAAAATTCTTGTATGTTAGATGCGATGTTTTGTTCATTTGCATTTACTTAGCACTTCATTCATTGGATAATGCTCACTTTTATGTTGAAACAACTGTTTATTACCTGTTGTGATTCTGACATAGTTTGATTTCAGGACTTGACAGCACAAATTTCCGCAGAAACTGACCCGATTGCACTTCTACCGAAAGTTGTTGCCTTGCTGTACCTGCAGGTAAGTTAACTGTTGGTATTTTACATTTGCATACCTTTAATTGCATGAAATACATACTTTTCCCCTTGTCAATTTTTTAGGTATACAACAGGGCTCTTCAAGCACCTGGAAGGGCTATTTCTGCTGCTGTTTCTCGTCTAAAGGTAATACTGTTCTGATTCTTGTATGTATATATGTCGTAGATATATCACCATGAATATCTAGCTTAAACATTTCCTGCAGGATCAAATAGTTGTTTTCGGTAGATTTTTATTTATGTTATTTGCTGACTTACATACACTCTCGAATGTGAATCAAATATGTAGAAGTATTGTTTTGTAATATATCTTCCACTCAGATTCAATTTTTGCTATATATTTATTATAGTTTGTTGTGAATATAACAGGACAAACTTCCTGATCCGGCGTATAAGATCTTGATGGATTATCATAGTGCTACTGTCACTCTTTTAGCCCTACAAGCTGCTGCAACTGGAGATGTGAGTATTGCTATCCATGCCTATATAAACATCACAGTGCTTTATAAATACATGCTTGCTTGCCTTTTTTCTTGCGTGATTATAGCTTTCTTATTTTGACAGAATTCACGGATATGATATTTATGTTCTAGTTTGTATTTGCTGCTGTAGTGATGTGATCTTATTCTTGTGCAGGAAGAAGATTGCACATCTGACAGGATTCTAAGCAAAAAGGAACTATTGGAAAGTAAAATGCCAGAGCTGAAAGGCTTGGTATTGAGCAGTAGCAGCACATGATATGTAGATTTTTCCAGAATCAAAAGGCTCCAGGTCATGTGTACTCAAGACCTGACATTCTCTGATACTTTCACTTCAAATAGCTCGGGCAGTTTTTATCGCGATACTTTCTACATGGCCATTCATCCATATAAATGTTATAGATGAAGTTTCAGTCATCACCTCGTAATATTTTTTTCGAGGAGCTAGTTGTGTTGTCGTGTGATCTGACCTGGTGATTTGATGTAAACTGATCTCTGTAGAATAGATATACTATACCAGCTATGTTTTTACTTTCTACACAAAAATGTACACAAAACTTTTGTGAACAGCATATAGTTGTCTGGGATGTAAAAGGCTATCCTCGCTGACTCTTAAACAGAATATTACCAAGAAACAAAGTTCTTATGCTGCTAAATCTACCTCCAGAGCTCTAGTTCTTGTGCACCGCATGTATGTGCTGAATTGGATGCTGTATTCAATTTGGATAGTGGTGCTTATTAAGTTAAAACTCTCGACCAACTATGTTATATAGTAAATTCTCTCCTTCGAACTAGCTCTTCGGATCCCTGTAATCACCACGACAGAACGAGCAGAAATTCTACGCATCGTCGCCCTTTATGGCTGATTTGCATATCAATCGTTTCATTTTTCTTTTTCTGCCTAACCCTTCTGCAGAAAAAAATAACATCTTGTCACTCACTTTATTATAGAACTACTGGGAGTCCTATTCAAGACAAATCTCTAGATTCGGTTAACGGATCAAACAAGCAGATGTTTAAGAATATCACTTGAATGACTGGGGTATTTCTAAAGATGTAACATATGTTTTCATAATTTTAGTCGTATGTTGCGCCCGATCTTGATGCCTCTAAGCTTTTAAGTTTGTCTTTCATATCTTTGTTAGGTGATCACCCAGTTTGCTTGCTTTTTTTTTCCTCCCAGTACCTGGATACCTACCTGAGCAACAATACGATCGACGACCACGTAACATAAGACAGTGCAATATCTCTATAAGTAATAAATAAATAGATAAATAAAGAGAAAAATGTAACTTATATATCAGCACGCCATGCTCACATGCTGTGTAGATTAACCTTTTTCATATTTGCTTTAGTTTAGCTATACAGGGGGCAGAGACTTTGCAAATGTATGAGCTTTCCTTTTTTCCCCTCCTTTTCTTTTCTTTTTAAAATTTCATAGGCTGTGGATAAAATCTACCTTTGATACTGCTAGATAATTGTGTAGTTACCTGTGTTGTCTATCTCTAATTCGGGTTAATTAAGGATTTACCCTGTGTGAGGTATCACATTGTTCGAGGAACCCTGGAAGCATGATACAAAATTTGTAGAGAGCAAGTGTATCGTGTGGAGAAACGAGTACCTGCAGACATTATACCAGCTGGTGATATGTAGTGCAGCCTGCACATGACATGACTGTGTTTGTTATGTTTGTTATGTTTGGGGTTTTTGTTTTGTGGGGGTTTGTTATGTTTGCTTCCTTTTGTTTTCGACAAGTACCGTGTATTATTATAGGGTTAATAGCGGATAGGCCCCTTGTACTATAGCCAGTTGCGCATAGTTTTATTTTTGCAGATAGACCCCCAGAGTGAATTTTATCGACTCTTTTACTCTCAGATGTCTATTTGTTAAGAAAAACAGTTTTACCTATATACGGTAAAAGAGTCAAAATATCGCACTCAGTAGGGTCTACCTGCAAAAATAGAACTACAACAGGCCTACCTGCAATTAACCCTAGAATGTACAGATCTTCCAAGGCCTTGGAGAAAGAACTACCTGTTACGTGCACATCAATGTTGGTTTCTTTTGGTTTTCAACTTGTCAGACCTTTTACTGACATTTTTAAACTGTTTAAGGTTTGTGTTTTTTTTCGAGTCTGAAGGTTTCTTCAGGCTTTAAAATATTTTTACATTGAAGGAATCATTTTGCTTTTGAGTGGGTCTATGCTATAATGATTATTCAGTTGCAAATTGTCAAACAGTTTGATGTCATGATTGCAGGTTCCAATGATTATTTGTCATCCTTTGTTAAAAAAAAGAGTTCTTACAAATCCCAGCATAAAAAATTTCCTTAGCAAAGTAACTGTTGATGCTTTACCACCTTCTTTTGACAGTTGAAGTGAATCTATTAGCATGCCATAGTTGATTTCTTTTGGCATGTCTGCTGCTTGAATTTCTTGTTTTATCGTTCAAGATCCAAAATGAAGGTCTATTATTCCAACGTCTTGTCATTTTGGAGCTTACCAACTCTGATTTTTTAAGTACTTTCTTATTGTGAAAAAAAATATCTCCGTATCAGCATTTTTCTTTCTTCTGAGCATAATTTTGTTCTTTGATAGTCTTTTCAACCAGGTTTCTTTGTGATCAATTGGAAGTTAGATGTACTACTGATTCTGAGTGTTTCTCATTGGACCTTTTCCCCTTCACTTCCATGTTACGGTTCAGGTAGATATCAGACCATACATCAACATTTGCAAGAGGCTTTATCGGCTTCAGCGCTGAAATGAGATCGAAATGATTCTTGCAATGATGGTAAGTTGATCCATAAAGACTGCAGGCCGCGATGGATATGGCATAAGTATGAGGGAGGTCCTATGTTTCTTATCAGTCGAAAAGGCCGCACTTGGCCTACTTCCTGCATGGAAGTTCCCTACAACTAAGCCAAAAATTCAAAGTCATGGACTCGCGACGACGCAGCATCTTTTGATCAAGTCTGCTTCAGAAATTCGTGTCCAGTAAAATACAAACCTAGAGTAGATCGCTCTGATACCATGTCAACGAATCCTGCCACCGCACCAAAACAATTTGAAGTTCTCGAATCGTAGTGTGGGTTGAGGGTTACAGTTTTATATTATAACACCTTGCAAAACAAGTTTTCTTTCCTTTTCTCCCCCCCTGAATCCACCAGCCAACATAAAAAGGTAACAAAATGATGACTTAATGTGCACATATGGTAACATGTAGAGGGATGAGCAAAGAGGGAAAATAGAATAAACACGCCATCCAGATTAAGTTTATGACTATCTGTGGGTATTTAACAGTAAATTGGTAGAGAGAGTACACCTTTGGATCTTGGTTCATGG